TGGATAACTGGTTGTGCGATCCTTGGCAGGAAGGATGGGGATTGATGAGAATGTAGTGATTCTGATTTTATCATTGATATCACTTATCAGTTCAGCTTCTTATCGATTCTCATGGGTTCTCAAAGATATTCCAGTCATACAAATTCATTGCAGGCTGTGTGGTGAACTGTTTGTGCATGTTCGAGGTATTTGACCTATTTGTTGTGATCAGAGTTGTGGTTGTTATTTAAAAAGTAATGTATTACACATATTACACAGTAATGCAGTACATTATTTAATTACTCACAGAAGTAATTTGTTATACTACTTGTTACATTACATTCGTGTTACTCTGTAAAATGTTCTGAAACATGCTGTCATATAATAATCAGTTAATAGTATAAACCTATAAGTTACAGTCACACACACCAACACAAATCACTATCCTAATGACAACACACATGTGATCTTTGTCTTAGTAATTTGGGCATGAACACAAAGTAAAGATGAAAACCAGCACACAGCGACTTCAAAGTGATCGTCACGGTGATTCTGCTAAAGATGAACAGGTAGAAAACGGGGCTGCAGTCTGACTGCTCACCAGTTTGTTAACTGTTGAAGTTCAGGGTCTGGCTGAGTTCTGCATTCAGCTTTAACATCTTGGACAGCTTAGCGTTAGCATGCTGTCTGGCTAGCTTAGCATTAGCATGGTGTCCATGCAGATGCTTGCAGAGAGCTGAAATTGTGTTAGCAGCATAATGCAGTTGTTTGTGTCCTGGAGGCAGTTTGCACTTTACCATCGCACACGTCCTTTTGTGCAAAAAAAAAAGAAAAGAGAGAGATTGTCCATATCCATTCTGCAGGCTGCCATTTTCTTCCTCCTACACACTGAAATCAGCTGATTGTAGCACAAGTGCAAATGAAACCAACAGGCATACTAAATGGCAGCAACGACTGGAATCAATCATTTGTTTGTTGCTCAGTCACATTGGAGGGGTTTTGAGCACAAATGACCTCTTTAAGCATCTCAATCAGATTTAAGTCCAAACTTTGATTAGACCACTCTAAAACCTTCCTTTAGCCATTCAGTGGTAGACTTACTGGCATGTTTTAGATCATTGTCCACCTGTGTAACCCAAGTGTGCTTTCAGGGCATGTTCTATGTTCTATGATTGATGGGTTTGTTGTGAATTTTCACTGGTGCAGCCATAGCATGAATTTGAAAATTCAGCTAAACTTTGATATTATAATGTTAACACAAAGGTGATAA